GGATAACCATTCAAACGGCAGTTGTGAACCTTATGTAATTAACGATATCGCAGCCCACAAAAAAAATTCCAATAAAAACACAAATGCGAGAACCCCGAGTGAATCTGGTTCCTCAACCACCAAAGTTTTTACCGAAAATATTCCTAATTATAATGGTTCATCCGTTACTACAAATGTAACAGATGAGGAAAGTATCAATTCTGGTCAGCGTGATATTCCTAATTATAATGGTTTAACGGATGAAGAAAGTGTCAATTCTGGTCAGCGTGATAATCCTAATTATAATGGTTTATCCGATACTACAAATGTAACGGATGGAGAAAGTGTCAAATCTGGTCATCGTGAAAATGGGAAGTATTATCTTAAATCGCATAAATCCAATCATTCCAATCATTCGATTGATATGCCCAAGAAAGATTCTACCGCGACTGACCTTGTGGTTCAAGGTTTGTGATATAATTATAAAATTTAAATTATAAAATATATTATAATTTATATTAACATTTTTTCTTTTTTTTTAGAAAAATTGCATAAAGTTGAAGATAATGTGGATACCGCAATTACTAACCAATGTAATTTTATAAATTATAAATTATTGAATTTACTTAATATATTACAATTTTTTAAATTAATACCGTTTTTCTTATTAATATCCACTAGCATCTCATGTGTCGGATGATAATACAACTAATGAAGGCGTTAGGAGCATTCCACTGTCTCCCCAGCTCGATCACCTTCCAGTTATTCAGGGTTCTAATATGTCAGAAAATCCGCGAAAATCTCTGGATGCCAATGAATCTGGTTCTCCACTTGTCGATCAAGAATTAAAACAAGCTAATACCTCTTTGCCGTCAGTTGCAAACAATGGTGCTATAGTTTCACGTGAGCTTTCACGTGAATTATTATTCTCGAAAAATCTTTATATAGGCCAAGTTGAACAGCTCCCGTCTATATACCTTACTTTCTATTATCTTGGTTGGTACACCGAAGCTATTTTCGAACGCATTGCCAATAGTCTTAATATTGTGGATCAACACACAGGAATTCCGCTGAGTAGGTTGTTTCTTTGGATGTTTTCTCTTAAAAGTTGGTTGGGTATCAAAAATGAGGATTTAGAAAAATTGGAAGCTGCGAAGAAATCAGAATAATCAACACTTTTTTTTCTCACAATTATCGTCTTTTAAAAAGTTCATTTTGTTTACTATATACTTTTAGTTATTATAGTGATTGCTTACAATGATTATTATTCTTCTCGTACTATTCAACTATTACTAGTTTTTTTTTTAACTTCTCGATCTTTATTTTTGCAAAAATGTTTTTTATTATTATTCGTAAAAATAAATTATATATTTTTCATTAAAAATTTGATCAATTGTATTTCTATTACGATATATAGGTTAAGTCTATATTGGTGCACGCTGTATACGTATATATATTGATATGCATAACCTGTCTAAATATAAAAATTTTTAACCTAAAAAAAATTATAATACTGTATATTATCAATTTTTCCATCAAAGAAATTTATTTAGTCATTGACCATATTGTTCGACTAAATTAATATATTTTTTTGGTCGGGAAAATTACTTGCTTACATTACATCAATATAATAGAGATGTTAAATGAATACTTTTCAAAATAAAAAATTTTGAAATGATATAATAAAGAACAAAAAAAAAAAAAAACTTGAATTTAACATATATTTGTGAATAATATTTAGATAAAAAAGATTTAACTTTTTAAATACGAAATAACATACCACATACACTGTTTATTAAAAAAAAAAGTCGTAAACCCAATGTGGACAAAACTTCAATTTAGCTCTTATTACAAAAATGAACTATCGTACATAAGGAAAGTTGAGCATTGTAGCATATTAATCTTAAAATATCTCATAATACAATAACTGAACGAAACGATTTTAACTATTCAATTCATCTTATCAAGACGTATAAAAATTACTTTATTTGATTTTCTTGACAACAAGATATTAGCAACGTTAATATAAAAACCCAGTAAATTGATAGATATATTTAACATGTCCTTTAAGCTAGTGTTATACGTTTTGTCTATCCAAAGCTTTTTTGTCCATGTCCAACGTTCAAATGTCCAAGTGTCCAAAGTGTCCAAGCTGTTCATGTCTTTAAATATTTTTTATTAATTGAAATTAACTATCAGCTATATGATTATATTCTCGGTTTAATTTTAAACATCATTGCTTATAATAATTAAATAGGTTATCAATAAAATTTTAGAGTGATTTACTGTTCGAACTTTAATAGTCTCCCTTCTTCTCTTAATATCAGC